TTGGTTATTGTGTCAGCTTTCTTGTAGAATAGATGGTTGTCTTGTGACGTTCACGAACCTTGAAGACTACATTGTTCCTGTGACTTTTCTCCATGTTTGTCTTGGATGTTTTTATCTACTCTACATGGAAGTAAAAGAATATAAATTTTTATAATCTTAAAATCCATTTTGGACTCGAGCCGAATAGCAAATTACCAAAACATATTTTGAAGGGTTGAAGTTACATATAGGTGCATTGAATGTTGAGTGGAGGTTTGTGTTATAGATGCAAACTTGTACATATGGTAAAGTCATATGGTGTGACCATTTAGTTGTATACATAGTCTCCTACTTAATGAGGGATTACCCGGTGGGTCTGGTTCACCATTGTATTGCAGTGACCCTACCACTAGGGGAAGATATGGAGAGATAAAGTGGAATCCAACCTCTTCCTTTCCTAGAAGGCAAGGTTTTGACAATCGGCCGTTACAACGCGTAACAGCCGTTATGTAACGGTAATGGTAACGTTGAGCTCCTAGTCCGGTACACCTCGATATAGCAGATAGAATGAATTTCATAACCGTAATGGCCGTTACGGTCCTGTAACGGTCATAACGAGCAATACGGGCAAAATCGGGCTGATTTGACCCGTTATAACCCGAAAATCGATTTGAGGTTCCTTCCATCGGAAACCCAGATTCAGTCCAGTTCTCCGTCATCTTCTTTCACTTAGATCAAGATTTACATACAACCAGATCTAGAAAATCCTTCTTTCAAATAGATACAAATAAGGTATTAAACCTGTATGTTCTAGATCTCGATTCTTGAGGTTGCTTTCGAATCTTTGATTGAGTCGAACTGTCGAAAGACTCGAAACCACAAATGTCGAATGGTTGTTGAGGTTGCTTTCAGATCTTGCATTTTGGATCTGTGCTTGCTGCTCGCATTGAACGGTGGAAGGCGTGTCGAACGGCCAGATCTCCAAGCCGTTGCTATAGGCTCGAAGCCACCATCCCATTTGGGGTTTGTTGGAGACATGATCTGCTGCTTTATTTTATCTTTTGGTCAAATCTTTTTGCTACTTTACTAATTATTATAATGGAGTTTTGTGGGGTCTCAAAATTAATTACTGGTTCATTAATTGTTTTAATGAAGGTCCTGTGGGTCTCACAATGTAAGAAATATTGTAAATACTTTTAATATTTTATTATCATGTTTATAATATAATAAAATCCACTAGAAATCATGAAACACTTTTTGTATGATTTTAGAGTTAAAACTTGTAAATATTCATGTTTTATGGATGGTTGTGAGTCGAAAAAAAAAATTCACGCTTCCGATTTCTGTTACCGTTACGTAACATCCGTTTCATCCCATATCCGTTACACCGTTACCGTTATGACAACCGTTACTGTTATTCAAAACTATGCTAGAAGGTACCTTATTTTGGGTTATGCTTTGTCCTCCATGCTTTCTCCCTAATGACCGGATTGATAGGTGACATGGTGGAGGCCTGGTTCAGGAAATAATTTCTCCTACTTAACCCTTGGCTAAGGTTATGGGAGATATTTTATATGTGGGTAATGAGGGGAGAATGGATACTGGATCTTAAATTTGGTAGTTAGCTTATGACTATTTGGTTCTCTGACGGCAGGATTATGAACATTTTTATATCATGAATGTTGTTGAACTTGTGCTATGGGCCTATGGCAACCACCGTTTGTTTCTTTTGGTGTAGGTACAAGAATATAATGGGTATTGCCAAAGATGTCTGTCGTCTTGTTCTTCCATGTTTCAACATGAATTCAATGTTTATTTGAATGTGGCTTAGTATTTGGCCTATCAATTGACGTGGAGAATAATGGCTGGGCTGGTGGATAGCTTCCCTTTGAATGCATTGGTTATGCAAGAAACAGTTGTTGCTCATATCAATAGGACTCAGAAATGGAGCAATGGCTAGGTCATGTGATGCGTTCCTCCTAAGTGACCATGGGGGTAGAGGTTGAAGTAGTCAGCTTTGTTGCATATATGTTGGACATTGACATATTCCACATTATTCCTTGAAGTGATGCTTTGAAGAAGGTGTTTGGCTTGGAGATTTGAATTGGAAGAAATTATGTAGTGCATCTCTTTGGTTATTTGATCGATTGCATTCTATGTAGACAAGGAATGTTAGAAGGCTTAAAACTTTCTCCCATGAGTGGAATATCTAGTTCATAATTGTCGATCAAATTGGTAAATTTGTACAAAATGAAATGAATATTGTTACTCATTCTGGTTTCTACCTCTCATCCCTAGCTTGTCATTTCCTCTGTTTACGTTTTGAATGGCAAAAAGTCATGAGGGGTAATATGTTTAGGGTTCAATTTTGGTATTGAAAAGTTATTTTTATAGAGACGTAGTTTGAAGATTTAATTAAGGACTTTATTTAATGTGGTTATTGGATTAGTTGTGGGTTTTAATATTAGAATTTAAAGAAGCTTGAAGTTCTCAAAAAAGTGAAATCAGAGTTAAAGAGTTCAGAGTAGATAAAATAAAAGGAAAGGAAAGAAAGCTGACCTTGAATTTTGTCATTAAATCTTTGAAAATCTATTATGCACGAGCTACAAGAGAAGAAAATGCATTTAGATGGTAATAGACAACCTTAATTTTTGAATCATTGGGAGCATGTGTTAGGCCACAAATGCAAAACATTTCATTGTAAGTTAATTTGGAAAAAGAGTAATTTTATTTGGATTTAAAAATTAGATTTGATAATTACAGTCATTAATTTCACTGTGGATCTTAACATTTATTTAAACTCACTATCTATTTAATGGTTAGGCCACAAATGCAAAACATTTCATTGTAAGTTAATTTGGAAAAAGAGTAATTTTATTTGGATTTAAAAATTAGATTTGATAATTACAGTCATTAATTTCACTGTGAGTCTTAACATTTATTTAAACTCACTACCTATTTAATGGTTATGATCATCAATTCTAGTTTTAAGTCTTATTTTTAAGTTCATGTTCCCTAATTATTACTAAAATAATAACTAGGGAATCATGTAGTGAGTTCTAATAAGTACTAGGACCCACAGTAAAATTAATGGTTGTAATTATTAAATTTATTTTTCAAGTCCATGTAGTATTATTCTTAGGGGACACTTCTTCCCATGCACTAACTTTATAATATTTTTTTACTGTCATCTTACCACCAAACTTTTCCTAAATTTAATATTATTAGACAATTACCCATTAATGTGTTAAAATGATATTTTTTTTAAAAAATTTGAAATAATTTTAAAAAAATGATGGGAGGTGATACGAAGGACACAAAGAATAATTTAATTGGAAGGAGCTAATTAAATATTTCAAAACTCTATTAATTACGTATTTAGAGAGGAAAGTTTTCTATTTCATAATTTAATTGTTTTATATACATAAAAAGATTAGATGCTGGAATTAATGGTAACATTTTCGACCATCTTTCCTTATGACTAGTTGATGCCCTTTAGCGAGAAAATATTTTATTAATGTATGTATAAGACCATCTTCAATGGAGACCCAAACTTTTACTAAAATTTGAATAATAAAATAGTCAAAAACTTGATTTGATATAGACTTTTTCAATTGAGAAATTCAAATTTAAAGGAAAATAAACACTTTTTTAAATGAGAACAAACTTAAATTTAAAAGAAGATAAATATGACCACTGGATCTCTAAAAGGAAGTGTAATCTCACCATTGTTAAAAAAAAAAGAGGTAAAGATTTGAGTTTTTTTTAATTTGGATTTAAAAAATGGTTTCCCTATATTTAGTATGGATATGAGTTTAACATTAGAGAATGTTTTTTAAGAGTTTTTTGCCCTTTTTTAATATTAGAGGATATTTTTTAAGAGTTTTTTGCCCTTTTTTTAAAAAAGGTATAAAAAAGGATAAAAATTGAAGACGCTCTAAGAAATAGTTCAAATAGTAATAAAAACGAGCTGTAAAATTTAAATATTCTGAATTTAAATCTTGACCATTTCTTGTGGTCAGGTTATGAGAGATTTATCTCTCATAAATATTTTAGTCCTGATATAAATGAGCTATCTTTGACCAAGTTAAAGAAAAAATTAGTCTAAATACATGTAGGATGATCCGAACACCTCTAATTGTTTTAAAAAAAAAAGAAATCATATAATGTAATGATTATACTTTATCCACAAAGTCATGTGGTGTTTATCTTCTACTAATCAGTGAATAAGTATATAATTGAAGATCCCAAAAAAAATTCAATAATCATCTATTTTATGTAATATACTCCCTCTATTCTTAAATATCTGTCGTCTTACCTAATTTTTTTTGTTCCACAATATCTTTTATTTTATGAAAGTAAAACATAATTAATATTTTTTCTTCAAAATTTGCCCTTATTTCTGTTTTTTAATAAGTGTTTAATAGATTAAATGTAGGTTAAGTGTCTTTTATATTTTTTTTCTGAATAAGGGGAATTTAGTCTTGTGTAATTATTTTTTACTTATACTAAAGCTATTTAATAGCTTCTTTAATTCCTGTGCAAAAATATTAAACGATAGATATTTAACAATAAAGGAAGTAATAAATAAATAAAATTAATTTTATTTATTTAAAAAAAAATTTATTAGGCAATGGGGCGAACTAATATTATTGACATCACATAATCGTCACAAATGGAACATCAGCGGTGATTCAAGTCACCGACCAACCAGATAATCCATGTTGTCCGGTCGAAAAAGTCTTATATGCAACCATACGCGCCAATCATCACCCACGAACTAAATCTCAATGACGTCTGTCTATTTCGACAAACTACACGCCAAAAGTCAGTTTTGTAATCGCGAGTTTCTTCTCACTTTACACCTGCGAGTGGAGTACCCTAAAAGCATCCGTTTAGAAGCGGGAAAACCCGTTTCATTCAAAATTCGAAAATCAACGAACTTGCACAGTACCTATTTAGAGATCGCATCTCTCTCTCTCTCTCTCTCTCAAACCACATGACTTCATTCCCATCTTCATCTCAAGTATGAGATCTCTCCACCAGTATAAAATGATCTGTTTTTTTCCCCAAATTCATAATTTCATGTTGTTTTCTTCGTTTCCGATTTGTTAATTCATAATTTTGATTTACTTTTTTTCGTTTCTAAGATTCACAGAGATGGATTATCATAGTATGAAGAGAAAAGAACTTCAAGCGCTATGCAAGAAACACAATATCCCTGCAAATTTGTCCAATTTGGAGATGGCCAACAAGCTTGCTTCACTTGTACAGGTATTCACATAATATATGTAGATATACGTATATTCACATAACTAGAAACTTTATCAATGGCATAAAAGATTGCGGTGAGCAGAAACTTTATGTTCATAATGTTATGCACATAATGTTGATGAGCTATAGATGTAATCACCCTCCTAATTTCTTAACCTTGATATGGAGAATGCAACTTTTTGTTTATTAAGTAAAATTGTAAATGTAGTGAATATTAATGTAATTGCTCATGATTATTTAGGACAACGAACAGCGAGTAACACGAGGAAAATCATCCTTGAAGGGTTTGGCTGAAATTCCAATTGAAAATGATTCTGATGTTGTAAATGGGAAAATCAAGAAGTTTAGGTTTAGTCCAGAAAATGAAATGATGGATTTTGTGAAATCAGATGCTAATTTAAATGAAACGAAGAGGGAGGGGAGAAGGAAATCGATGTTGAGACCTGTGGCAAAGAAGGGAGACCATGTCATTGATAATGTTGATAGTGTAGATTCCTTTAAGGAAATTGTGGATAAACCACTGGTTAGAGCTACGAGGTCTACAACAAAAGAAGCGACAGAGTGTGGTGCAGTTTTGGTTCGGAGTACTCCATTAAAGAAGAAGAGAGGGAGAAGGGAGCTGAAAGAAGTTGATGGAAGTGATAAGCCACCTCCTGTTGTAGAAAGTACTGCAATTGAAGAAAACCAGGTCTTAACCAGGAGATCATTGAGGAATAGAGTGGCAGTGAATGAGGTTGAGCAAGAAAGTAAGGGTGTAGATGTTGTGGCTTCAAGGAAGAGTGTGAGGCAGAGAAATCTGAAGATTACGCGTGCCCATGGCAGTGGTGACGTTTCTGAGAACAAAGCCCTTGAAGAGGATGGTGGAATTGCTGAACCTGAAAAGGGTTTAAGACGATCGAAAAGAAATATGACGAAGGATGAAGGCTCTGAGCTGTTAGATGGAGATTTGATTCCTAGGGGTAGGAATACACGGTCCCGAACTCAGGTGGCAGTGAAAGCTTCTGCAGTAGATAGTGAAACTGGAAGAGAAACAAACGTTGAAGTTCAGAAAGGACCTTCCAGGCGGCCTGCAAGAAATGGCAACAGGAACAAATCTGTCATGTTTCAAACAGATAATGAGGAGGAGATTCAGGGAAAATTGGAAGTAGTTTTACCACTCGAAGAACCATTGAAGCGTGCAGCTAGAAATCATGATAGGCAGAAAGCTGTTATGCCTCAAGTTGAGAATGGTAATATGAACAAATCTGTTGTGCCCCAACTGGATAATGAAGAGGACATTCAGGGAAAATTGGAAGTAGTTCTAATGCTTGAAGAACCGTTGAAGCGTGCAGCCAGAAACAATGGTAGGCGGAAATCTGTCGTGCCTCAAGTTGAAAGAGTGGGAATTGATTGGGTTTTGGCCGTGAATGAGAATAGGAAACCAGTAAGGAGTTTAGCTTTGGTCGGTGGATTTGGTGTTGAAGTTCCCAAAGAACATGCGATGGTTCCACAGCTTAATGATCATTTGAGGAGGTCAAGGAGCAACACTTTGATGGTATACCCCACTACTTCAACTAAGGAAGAATTGGATACTCATGGACTTGTGGAAGAGAATGAGTCACTGAGGCAATTGAGAGATCCTTTTGCTCTCATAAAAGCTCCTCGGATCATAGAAAAAGTGATGAGATCAAGACAAAGTGGTTCTCGAGATGAACCTGTGGCAATTCCAGATGAAGTTGCCAATGCTGCTGGAGTGATTATACCAAGAAAGCGAGGAAGAGACCCAATTCAGGAAGAAGTGGCTGTTGACAATGGATGTCCTGTTGAAGAACTTCTTAGACGATCAACAGACAAGACCATTACAAGTGAGTCAATTGCACCAGGAGTCATTGCTGGCCAAGATGTTGAGAAAAGTACGGCAAAGAGTAGATCGAAGCCACCAAATTTAGAAGTTGAAGCTCCGTTACTTGAGGGCCCTTTGGCCATTAAAGAACTATCACTTGTAGATGCTGAATTTTCCATGCCAGAAGTTGCAAAAACCACTGTTAACTCAGATTTCAGCAGGGACAATGGTGTCACGGACACTGATGCTGAAAGGAGAAAGCTCCGAAGGATATCTCCTGCAGAGAAGCAAGAGAGCACTGTGAAGTTGCAGACTGATCATATAGAGCAAGAAATGGGGATTTCTGTCCGTGAATCTGTGGTATTTGCAGAGGTGGTGAATAATTCAATGGAGGTTTTCACAGAGAAATCACTAGTAGACTGTATCCCTAAGGCTATTGAGAATGATTCGGCAGCTCAGTTCCTCGGTAGCACTGAGATCATTGGTTGCAATAATTCCCTTGAAGCAGAACCATTGAGTGACTTAAATGTTTCAGGTGACACAGGTTCTGGGGAGAACATTTCTGTAGCTGACGACCCCTCACTTCTTGACCAATCGGACTCCATGAGTAAGTGTGTTTATTTACTTTGATATTGCAAAACGACTTCATTACTCCTTTTGCATTTGTCATTGTGTTTTACTTATTTGCAGCAAAACTGAAAGGGACAGAGAATGAGGAAGAGCCATCAGTGGGCAAACACATTCACCCAAGTTCTCTTGTGGTGGATCATTATGATGAAAGAATCTTTGTTAACAAGGAGCAGCACTTGGTGCATTCTGAGGAGATGAATGGGGTTTCTAAACTAACTATACATGCAACGGCAGTTGATGACCGATTATATGGTTCTAACCAAAGTGGGGCCTTGAAGAAGAATAAAGAAAATGCTGTTGAGGAAACTCCAGAAGCTAGTTTTATCGGTCCTTCTGATGGAGATCCCGTCTCTTATATCGTACAAGAGGACAAAGATGGAGAGGACCCCAAAAGGTTCATGGAGGCTTCTGAATTGCAGGAGTCTACTACTACATTAGGAAAACAAAGTATGCAAGTGGAATCCCCATTAACAAAGAGCATTATGGCCATTGATGAACCACCAACTGGTGGTGAGTTGTCTGTGCCGGAGGTTGGTGAAAGTGTCAGGAAAACTGTCTCTAACAGGGGCAACTTTCCTGACCATAATGAGCAGAAGAGGATGAGCTCTATGAGAAAATCTTACTTAGAGGATGAAAGTAGTCCTGAAAGTGTTTGTCCTGCCCTTTCCAAGGAGGTTGGAGATTTAGTAGCTGCGAATTTGGAGAAGACTCTAGCTTCGAACTCTGTGAAGTTAAATCGTGAATCAGGAAATCCAGTAACAGAGGTTGATTCAGAGAACACAAACGGAGATTCTGATAGCATAAATTTGTTTGATCCAGAAACGGTGAAACGCCAAAGTAACATAAGTGATGAGGTCATTGCTGAAATTATCTCCCGAACTGACGGCTTTTCATCAATCCGTCAACTAGATTATTTTGGTAATCAATGACTTGCATTTTGACCATGCATTGATATTTGAGCTGTTTTCTAAAATACTCACTATTTGTTTTGGAAGTTGCAGAGGGGCTCAATAAAACCACAGACTTATCAAGGAAGCACACACGCAAAAGGAATGGTGTCGGTAATTATGCTGCAGCAGATGACAAGCACTTTTTAGATTCAGCTAAATATTCTCGTGGTCAGCCAAAGGACTTCGAGATTGCCTCTGACGAGGGTAGAAAAACTTGTATGCTTTATCCTTGTGATGGGGAAAGAAATGCTAGAAAGATTGCTCATAATTTTGAAGAATCTGTCGAGGCTGTTGATTTGCAGGAGACCATTTCAGTTGCAGGAAAGTGTAGAAAAGATGGTTCTACTTCAAGCAGCCCCTGTTCTGTGTGGATAACTCCTTGCAAACCTGATACAATCTCAAATCAACAAGGTATGCATCATCTTTTTCTTTCCTTTTCATGGATTTGTAGCCATCGGAGAGGTCTAGTCTATGAGGTCACTTTTGGTAAGGCATTTTTGTTTGGTCGTTTTCTGTTGAATCAGCTTCTGGTGCTCTTTCAAAACAAGAATCCACATGAAAAAAGATGTAATAATTAGTTCCTCCTCCTGCATGATTAAATAATCCGTGGTTTAAGACGAAAGATTTATGTTTGCAATGCAGGGGTTAGAATTGGCAGCCAAAATAAAATAGAAGAGGGTTTAACAACAAATGAAAATGATCCTGAGGAGGCAGTATTCATGGGTAGAGCGTCACCAGCTGCTGACGAAGAGAGTAGGAATGATGGTTTTGGAGGAAACGTATGCATGCCTGACATTTCCCATAATGTTGTCGAAAATTTAGATGGTCAACTTGCCATGGTGACAGAAGGAGATTCCGAAAGAAAATGTTCATCTGTTTTTGAGGATGTCATAGGGAGAACAATGCATGAAAGTTTCATTGGAGAAGGAAACAGGTCAGTCATTTCAGAGGAGAGGGATATCCGTAGAGCTGAAAGAATTCAACTACCAGTCGCTGCTCCAGAATGTGAGGGAATCTGATAAGCCTAGAGTTATATTATCTTAAGTTCTTCTGAAACATGGTTTCATTGGGAGGATTTTGATATTTTCTGCTGTTGACTCTTGCAATTTCTAAAAAGGATGTAATTTCTGTTGCAGCTACTGCCTTTTTCAATGATGATAGTTCATGGTATGAACAAATTTTTTTAGAGGACAGTGATGAAAGTGAGCGAGGTCAGTTCAATGGTCCCTCGTTGTCAGGATATGATATCCTTCAGCAAGTGGGTTTGTTGTTCTATGCTCTTTTTGTTCTTTGATGCACAGGATATGTACTCAAGAATTTGTTTGCCACACCTGCAAATAGTAAAAATGCTAATGAAGAAGAGACAATATCTCCAGACAAGACTAATATCAAGGTAGGGGATGGTAGATCCAGTCGAAGGGAGGCTCAAGATGTGATGGGTGCAAAGGAAAGTGAACATGGAAGTAATTTACTTAAAAGAAACACAATGCTAACTACTGATGAAAATATAACCAACGAGCACTCCAATCAAGGTGAGTGAGGTTAGTCCAATTTACCTTTTTCTCAGGATATGATTTCCTTTTAATTGCTCCATTTTTAAGTGCAGAAGATCAACTTCTTGAGATTCACCTTGCCATGCCAGATAATAGTGCAAATTCTTATGAAGGACTTTCTTGTCATGATGAAACATTGAATGTAGTGGTATCTGTGGACAACGTTCTTAGCAAGATGGGGGATGTTAGATCTACTGAAAGGGAGGCTGAAAAAATGGCGGGAGCAAAGAAAACTGAACATGATACACCCATACAAAGAGAGCAAGCTTTGCCAATCACTAGGGCAAAGGGTACTGGTGGGGGCTTTAGTGAAAGCTTGCAAGGTTAGTTCAGTACTCCTCTTTCTATGGATTTGGTAATGTTCAGAAGGTATGTTGATTGTTCATTTTTACTTCTAATGTGCAGAGGATGAACTCAAAATTCTGTTTTCCACACCAGTCACTGGTACAAACCCCTGCAAAAGAAAGAAAACTTTTGGCCATGGCATTAAAATGGCAGATGCACCCTTGTCCATCGATAAAACTGTGGGCATGGTTGGTGCAAGGTTCAGTCTAGGGACATCTCAAGAATTTCTGCCAGAAAAGAATGGTGAATGTGAAAACCCAATAAATCAAGAAAATATGATGCCAATGACTAGTGAAGAAACTTCTGAAGGTAGTTCCACAGAAAGCTGGCAAGGTTAGATCAATTGTTCTCTTTCCCAGTTTATGGTACCTTTCAGCATACATGGCTTATTGTTCTGTTTTTCTTAATGTGCAGAAGATCAACTCAAACTTTTGTTTGCCACCCCAGCCAAGAATAGAAATTCTTACCAAGAAATGCAATCTTTTGGTATTGAAAGAGAAGTTACAGAAAAAGTAATGCCTGTGGAAAAGACGAGGGATGGAGGGAATAGTCAAGGGGATTCTGAAGACGGGATAGGGATAAAGAAAAATGAACTTGAGGACACTGTAAACATAAGAAACATGTTGCGATTCAATGGTGAGGAGACAAATGATGAGGATTCCAATGAAAGTAAGGACATTGCCCAGGAGAATGCCAGCACTTCTGCAGCTTTAGCTGAGGTTATACATCAAAATTATGAATCTTCTGAGCAAATGACTGCTGGCCTCTTGGGGTCTGAGAAGGTGGTAGTAGATTATCAGTATGTATCTACAAAGATGAAAGATCATCAGTGTGAATCTACAAAAATGAATAACTCTCCGAATCTTTCAGTGGAATCCTTATTAGAAGAAGACAGAAGTTGCCATGAGACAATTGGTAAAGCTAAAAAACAGAAGCTTAATTTTGCCAGTTTAGAAGCCGACAAGATCAGTGATACCCCCGAGTTTAGATTTTCTGCTCTTGCCAGTGTCAAGTTTGATGGGAATAGAGGTACGTACTGATGTTCAGGTTTTGAAGTTTGAACTCTGTTATCAGCTTAATGAATTTTATTCTTGCATGCATAAACATGTAATTTCACAATGGTTGATAATTTTGTAGGTAATTCGCCCACTGATTTGTCTACATTCTTCCATGAAGCTGAAGAAGTTAAGATGGGGAAAGATATGGAAGCCACAAAAGGTAGTGATGGTCTTAGGGATACCAGGAACAGATCTGACATAGAAGACAACACAAGAACTCAACAAGTTGTCACAGAGAAACTGTTTGATGATGAAGACACGGAGGAACTTATCTTGGTTGGTGAAATTGTTTGTCAGGGATCAAACAAGCACTTATGTGAGGATGAAACTCTGAGCACAGCTGAGGAGACCAATGAGGTGCATGGTTCCTCACAAAACATTAATGACACAGTCCACTGTGCTCATGAGTCCAAGGATTCTGCTGAACGACATAATTTTGGTGATGCTTTTGTATTGAAACCGGCACTAGATGTTTCTAACGTTGCATCATCAGGTAATTGTGTATGTTCATATGATCATAAGTTGCAACTTGTTTGGATGTAAGGTTTTTTTTTTCTGAGCTGGAATATTAGATTCATCCTTACCCCTTATCATTTACGTTTGTATGAATTACAGAACATGGAGCCACAGAGTTGAATGGTGAGCCCCACAAGTTAAGCATGTGGGAGATTGAGATGCTTCCAGGAGATAATAAAGGAGAAAAAGATAAGCTGAATACAGGGGCCTCAGAAACCGATTTTACATCTGATCACAATGAGGCTGCTGAAGATTTGAAAGAAAATAGGACTTCGCTTGCTGAAGAGCAATTGGGCATGCATGAGTTCAACCTGGAAGAACAGGTTGCAAAGCCAAATGACAATCAAATTGACACTGTAGATGCGCCCATCTTTGAACATGATGAAATCTTGAAGGAACAGGATGTGGATATTGCCATCAAAGAATACCTTGATTCCGAGTATAATGAGAATGTATCTTTGGACATCGACAATTCTACTGTCACCATGCAAAATGAAGTGTTGACAAAGGTTGTGAAGAGGAGTCACAGTGAACATACTTCTTTGGTTGAGCCTGAAGCAGATGGTGACATTATGTGTACAGAGATAATCAATATTGCTAATGTTGGCGTGGTTGGTGATAAGCCATCAGTTATAGAAGGGAAATATGAAGAAAACAAAGAATCGAAAGAGTTGAGAGAACCTACTTCAAAATCAAATTCAAGAATGGCAGATCAAGCTCCCATGATCAGGGATTCTGTTACCGATAGAGGTACACAAAGTTTCATTACAAGAAATACTTCCAGGTTCTAATTATGTAATTACTATATTTAGGATAGATCAGATTACTTCTGATTGACCTATTTTTGGACTTGTTACATGGGATTTTTCATATTGTTTCTTAGGCTTTGCTGCTGAAGATGCTTGGACATCGCAACGAAAGGATGACCCAGTTCGAAGTAGAACTTCAGATGCAAATGTTGAGGAAGGCAACATCCTGCCTGCAAAGCAGTTGACCTGTATAACACAGAAAAGGAAGAATGCTAGAATCAGTTTCGCCCTCGAAACACCAAGTAAGCTACTCATGACTGCTGATATGAAGGAGAATGCACCAAGCATCAAGAAAGATCATATTGGTAGTCTAGCTATGGTGAAATCAGCAACAAAAAGGCGTGCCTTAGAGGAACTCTAGAAGAAATAGAATGGATCCTGCTGTTAAAGTTTTCTTATCAAGCGACGAGTGAAGCTATTCATGAGAAAGAGTACCATCAGAGTCCCTGTAGATAAAATGTAAGCATATCTCATGCAACATTTCATAATTTAAGATCGTAACGAGTGTTATGTTGTAAAATTTATATTTTTATGAACAATTATAATTTGTGAAGACCAAGCGTTAATGGTAAGAAACGCATTAAAGTATGTGTCAGGTTATTCAATGACAGGTTGTAATTTTATGTTTGACAATCCACTTTGCAGGCAGTACATGGGTCATGGAGGAGGTTGGTTTTTCACATTTCTGCCTGAGTCACACTGATTGATTCTTTGTTTTTCTGCTTTACTTTACCTTCTTTTGCCCTGTGTGTTCATCTGTGTGGAAAGGTGGCTTTCTCCACACTAGTGCTCTGTTTGTTGCAGTACTGGGAATTGGAGTCAAGGGCTTGTTTTGGAGTACACAAATTGGAAGGAATGTCTTCTTAGGGTGGATGGTCATTAAAGAAATTGACCATGATTCCTTCTTGGTATTAGTATTCAGCCATTGTGACGAAGAACAAGTTAGAATACTGGATAATATCTGTTTCACTGGAAGTGGTTCCCTTGAGAAAATTACTTCTCAATCGAGAACTAAAATATGACACGAGGTGTTAAGAATTAGGATGTTAAAATATGACACGAGACACAATATAATATAAAATTAGAGAATTTAGTTCTTTTTTAAACCACTCATTTAATAAACAAATGAACACGACATAATACGATTAATAAAAAAATGGGTGTGGGTGAAGACGATTAAAAAAAAATACACGATATAATTTGTTTATATACCAATTATATACGGTTTATACATGATTTATTAGAAACGAATCAAGTATGAAAAAAATATTTTTTGA